GTGCTACTACAGGAGGAAACCTAAACTTACTTTATTCATACTGCATAGCTCTATCAGTTCTAAACTGTTCTTCCTAGAGGTCCAGTAAGGATCATCTCTTATTGATCCAGTGCTACTACAGGAGGAAACCTAAACTTACTTTATTCATACTGCATAGCTCTATCAGTTCTAAACTGTTCTTCCTAGAGGTCCAGTAAGGATCATCTCTTATTGATCCAGTGCTACTACAGGAGGAAACCTAAACTTACTTTATTCATACTGCATAGCTCTATCAGTTCTAAACTGTTCTTCCTAGAGGTCCAGTAAGGATCATCTCTTATTGATCCAGTGCTACTACAGGAGGAAACCTAAACTTACTTTATTCATACTGCATAGCTCTATCAGTTCTAAACTGTTCTTCCTAGAGGTCCAGTAAGGATCATCTCTTATTGATCCAGTGCTACTACAGGAGGAAACCTAAACTTACTTTATTCATACTGCATAGCTCTATCAGTTCTAAACTGTTCTTCCTAGAGGTCCAGTAAGGATCATCTCTTATTGATCCAGTGCTACTACAGGAGGAAACCTAAACTTACTTTATTCATACTGCATAGCTCTATCAGTTCTAAACTGTTCTTCCTAGAGGTCCAGTAAGGATCATCTCTTATTGATCCAGTGCTACTACAGGAGGAAACCTAAACTTACTTTATTCATACTGCATAGCTCTATCAGTTCTAAACTGTTCTTCCTAGAGGTCCAGTAAGGATCATCTCTTATTGATCCAGTGCTACTACAGGAGGAAACCTAAACTTACTTTATTCATACTGCATAGCTCTATCAGTTCTAAACTGTTCTTCCTAGAGGTCCAGTAAGGATCATCTCATATTGATCCAGTGTTACTACAGGAAGAAACCTAAACTAAACTAACTTTATTTCATCTCTTATTGATTCAGTGTTACTACAGGAGGAAAACAAAATTTAAACTAACTTTATTTATACTGGATAGCTCTATCAGTTCTAAACTGTTCTCTCTAGAGGTCCAGTAAGGATTATCTCTTATTGATCCAGTGTTACTACAGGAGGAAATCTAAATTAAACTAACTTTATTTATACTGAGCGGATAGCTTTATCAGTTCTTAAAACTGTTCTTCCTAGAGCTTCAGTAAGGACTTGATCCAGTGTTACTACAGGAGGAAACCTAATGACCGTACACTAAATTAACTATACTTACCACTTACTGCAGGAGGTTCTGCTTTCCCGACGATAATCTTATGTCGTAATCCTTTATTATGCTGTTGCATTTGTTTCTCTGAATTCAGTGTTATATTACACCTTTCACAGTGGAACAGGTAAGACAAGTTTTTACCCACATTTGTAACCTGATTAACTGGTTGAGATGGCTCATTTGTGGTATGCTGCATGACCATTGGTTCTGTTTCTGTTGTCTCAGTTTTGGGGCTTAAAGTTCCTGGGATGAAAGTACCTGGGTTCATAGTTTCTAGGTTCAAATCCCCAGGGTTCAATGTTTCTGTATTTGAAATGTCAGGGTTAGTTTCAAGTTTCTTTTGAGCCATCTGCTGGTGAGCTTTGCCGTGCATGTGATCCTGCAGTTGTATCGACGAGTTGAAAATTTTTTGACAAACGTCACATTTATAGAATTGAGAGTGTTCCGTCACTTCGGTCCAAGTAGGTGTGTCTGTGGCTGTACTACCCTGGAATTGAAAACAAGTATCAGGTGAATTGGAGGGTACTGGGTACGGCATGGTTGACAAATGTTAACAAGCTTATCACTGGTTGGGATGCAACTACCTGTAAAATATAAGGAGAATTTCGACGTTTTCAGGTCCTTCGTTTGGAGTTACTAACCTAGTAACTACTCTCTCCTTTGACAGGGAAGATTTAGGTTTCTATTAACCCATTAGAGTGTAAGACTCTCTCCTTGACGAGTACAAAATTGTCTGGTGTTAGACAAATTAAAAGAATAAAGTAAAGGCCATGTTACACAGTGCAATTTTTCTTGCAACTTGTAATGCAGTTCTACTCTTGAGAGATGTTAATCAGTGAAATCAATGAAGAATTTTCGATATGTTGAAAAAACATCAGCGGAGTGCAATGAAGACGCGTACTTGGCAATTTTACATCTCTCAAGAGTAGAATTGCATTGCAATTAAGTTGCAAGAAGAATTGCACCGTGTAACATGGCCTTAAGGCACATTTGGGCACATTGCAGCTTGATGGGTTAACAAGACACATTAACTTGGCAGAATGTTTGATTAACCCATTAGAGTGCAAGACTCTCTCCTTGACGAGTAAAATTGTCTGGCATTAGACAGAGTAAAAGAATAAAGTAGGGCACATTTCTGTTTAACCCATTAAGCTGCAGAGCTTCCCCATTGACGAGTAAAATTGTCTGAGTTGGCCAGGTAGAAAAGTCTGTCATGGCCAAGTAAAAAAAGTAAGTAGAGCACACTGGGGTGCATTGTGGCTCAATGAGTTAATGGATTTTTGAATGTAAAAACTAAAATCTTACTATTATTGGTTTAATTATAGATTGCCCATATTGTAAATTAGTAAAAACCATGACGCTTAACATTTACCAGGAAAGTACGATTAATGGTAAATATTAAACATCATATATGGGAAATCTTTAAAACCATTCAAAAACCATTACTGGAAATTTAGAATTTTTTCCTGTGAATTTATTATTTCAATGTGCCAAATGCCATATGATTTTGCAACAACATTCTGTATTTCTTTACTCTGTCTAATGTCATACGACATTTAATATGCCTCAATCAAAGAGTCATGCATCTGTTTTGAAGGGTCTGAAATTTGCAGCATCCCGATATCCACAAGATACTTAATTTGGTTTTGGATACCAAACTGTGAACAACTTGTATATCCCAACTACATGTAGATATTACAAAATTTCAAACATTAGGATAATGCTAAATGACTTGTCTCCAAATAGCTGGGGTGGAAAAAATAGGTGAGCACGCGAGCACTGCTCGCAGGAAATTTGTTTGAATGAAGATTTGCTATTGAAAATTTGAAGGAAACTCGCACTATGGACACAACATATGGTTGACAGACATTATTCTTTGACAGACATTATTCCAGCTAGAACCACTATAACATATAATATGCTCATGCAGATTCAGCACATATAATATGCTCATGCAGATTCAGCACAAAAATTCTCTGTTGGTCTACAGGAAATTTTTTCTCCAGGTTGTGCTCCCAGGAAGAAAATTATTTTTTGCTGCCCTGCCAAATAGCTTTGAATAGTATGAATCTGCCTTCCTGATAGCCTGAAATGTCACCTGACATTTCAGGCTACCTTCCTGAAGATAACCTTTGATTTCCAACGTGGTGGTCTAGTTGTTGACTGTCGAGTCTCCTGTTGTTGTTGTATTTTTTATGACAATGACAGGTATTTACTAGAGGTGAGCCGATGTCTAGAAAAAGCCGATTACCGATACCGATTGTTAACAGCCGATATTTACCCACCATCGGCCGATTAATCGGCAAAACCGATGGTCATCTTAATTTTTTTTTTACTAATGTATCCTCTCGTCAAAAGACTCAAAACATGCAGAAACAGGAAGCGACATTTTTAACACTGATTCTGAAATCCACAGCGTGCTACTGACTGGTCAACGGAAGTTACGGAACACGATAATTTAATTAATATAAATCTTGCAGAAATGCCAATGAAGTGAGAAAACTACTATGAAAAAACGCAGGAAATCGGTAAACATAGTGTTTCCACATTTGAATTTCATTTTTTTTATTACACCGCTGACCATACAAATGGTGGAAGACAATCGGCCGATGGCCAATGACAATCGGCCGATTGTGAAAAAACAAGCCGATTAATCGGTTTTGCCGATGATCGGCTCACCTCTAGTATTTACTGTAAACATATTTCCTTTGATGGTTCAGGAATGCCAAAATTTATGGTAACCAGTACCAAAGAAGTGCAAGATACTGGGTTCTCAGATGGGATATACTAGAACTTAGAATCCTGGTACCCCAGTGGGTTACTGAAAAAAATTAAAATTTCCAGACCATGTTTCATAATAAATTTGGGCTTTTCTTCCTTGCTTGACTTGGAAGTCAAAATTAGATCACTAGTACAATTTTCATCAGATGAATCACATCTGTCATAGCCAATATAATTTCATTAATTTAACCACTTCTTGGTAATTATATAATTGACAAATATAATCCATTTATTTTCCCCCGAAGGACACTCAAAACATTGAGGTTCTGCTTGTATTTTTCAGATAGCTATATCCATATGAATCCACAGTTTTCATGATGTTATTTTACTCATAATTACATCACTTAAAATCACTATGTTTTACATAAAATCTTCTACACTTTTAATGCCAGTTAAATCATTTGTGTTGCATAACCATTTGGTTTTAATTAATTAGTGCAGTAATTGGCTTAATCCCTGTTATAACTTCACATATGTTGATGTTCTATGGGATTATTCCAATAGACAATTCCATTATAGACTTTTTATCTTGTCAAAAAAAGTATATTCCCGGAAAGAGCATACTACAATGAGTAAAATTGCAAAGTTTGGTTGCGAAATGTTGTAAAATGCGGAAAACGTAGCCTTGTAAAGTTTGCAAATTTTGTATACTTTTGTATTGCGTGCGGAAATTGCTACCACATTTGGGCCGAAAATGGTAGCAATTTCCGCACGCAATACAAAAGTATATAAAATTTGCAAACTTTGCAAGGCTATATTTTCTGCATTTTACAACATTTCGCAACCAAACTTTGCAATTTTACTCATTTTAGTATGCTATTTCTAGCTGTGGTGTTCTATTTGCATCCCCAGTTGCCTAATTGTCTATTGATCCAGCACCGGAACTACTGGGGGGTGTGGACAAAGGACAGTGAAGGGAGACCAATTTCGTCAACATTTTCCGGAAAATTTTTTTGAGGGGGCTCCCAAAAGGAAGGGGGCCCAAACTTTTCAGTTCACCCCCTCCCCCCCCCAACCATATATCGCTAGTTACGTCCCTGAATTGATCCATTGACCTCAACAATTTTCAATATTAACCTTTGTAGTATTCAATCAATAATGTTGAATAATATGGCAAAAGACATACATAAAAAGCCTAAAGCCTTCTATGGGGAATTGGAACATTTCCTATAGGCACCGATAGGCCGTTTTTCATAAGCGATATATAGCGTTAATATTTTGGTACCAAAAGCATGTGGTGAGGTGGTGACTGTTCACATGTGGTTTTAAAATAATCTGTGTTGCTATTTGCAGATTGATTACTGTATTCATGTGTTAAAAGATTTGCTTTGTTACAAATTTGGATTGCAAATGTTTTTGGTTATTTATAAATTACCAAAACGTGAAACGTCTCCTTTGTATGTTAAACCTAAAAACATTCGTATACAGAATTAAATAAACTCATCTCCAAATACTATCCAGTGGCTTGCTGTCTATTTCTGACCCGATATTAGCTTGTGACACACATAATTGTCTGTGAATAGAAAAGGCTGTGTTTTGTGAATGAAAGATAAGATTACTCAATGCACATGTAAATAAATTGTTTTTTTATTTTGTTGACAGACATAAACTAAACACCGGCGACCGGCCGCTGCCAATTTATACAACAACATTTTATAGTAAAAACCTCTTTCATACAAAACTGCTTTTACTTCTAAAGTTAAATTTCTACGATGTAAATAATAGTGAACAATTCCTACTCTATATTTTACCACTGGAAATTGCTTGAAGGTTGAGGCTGTTTATACAAATGACAATCACTATTCTATACTATCTTATTTTAAAATATAGTTATGTTATTATTCCGTAATATTGAAAACAAATAGCACTGTCCGGAAACTGGCAACGCATTGTATTGAAAACGGGCAACGTAGTACACCTACCTCCAAACCACGGCTTTTAGCCTTGTTCTTGTGGCTCTTTCCGGTAAAATGAGCATCTGCTTGTGAGCTTGAGTTTAAGAATATGTTACACACGGTACAGTGCATCATCTGCATGTCAGCTTTGCGTTTTAAACCATTTATTTCGGCCGTATTTTCTCCAACAGCAGCAGCCATCTTTCTCAACTTTTATTCAGATTCGACTCATTAATATTCAATTTTTGCGCGCCAGAGAAGAGCCTGGGAACGGATGGGGCGGATAATTGCGGATAACGGATAATCGTAATACGAGTCGCGACTGTAGGGGATGCGGATTTATGATAATCAACTGCGGACAAAAATTTATACATTGATTTGAGGTGATGGGTACATTTTGAGGTGATGTGTATTAGCCAGACATACAAACATAGCGCGTTTAGACAATGAAAACGTCTTTCAATTATTTAGATTGATGGGGTGCCTACCATTCGCACTAATTTGGATGAAAAATGTAAAATTAACACTAACCATAATATTGTAATAAAAACAAAGTAATAAAGTTTAAAAAAGTTTATTATATGATTCAAAGACAGTTGCCAGCAAATTATTATTCACATGAAGTTCAATACTAGTAAATAAATTATCATTGGTGCAAGAGTAAATTATCATACGCAAAGAGCATTATGACAGATTATTACCAAAATCTTTCCGATATTGCTAAACTATTAACCTAGCATTAAAATAGCCTGTTTCACACTAAGCATTGAAACCATCGCCTTAAAATTAAACACAGACTGTTTCCCAGAGTCACTTGCAACGACATACAAAAATCTGCAAGAGTGCTTCGCGATAGTCCGCTTTGTAAAATGTAAACAACAGCGGATTGACCATAGCATTTGCGACAAACGCATAAACTGATACATCAAAGATAAAATGCGGAATCGAGGCAACTTTATCGATGGCTATCATAAAATTGATAATAATAGCAGGAAGCCAGCATATGATAAAAATAAGAATAACAATGGCGAATAATTTCACTGCGCGCACATCGCTGAAAACCTTTTCCGAATAGTTCTTAAAACGTATCTTTCTCAATTTTCGAAGACTTTTTTGGGATGGAGTATTATGTGTCTTGATTCCAAGTGGAGTTAGGTTAAATTCTTGGCTGGCTCTTTCCTCTCCTGGTGTGAGCACTCGGGTCAAGCTTGCGCTCTCGGCGTGAATACTTGAAAGCGTAGTGACACAACTCGATATCTCGATGCTTGTTGTAGAAGATTGTTCAGACGGCTCAAACATCCCTTTGACGTGCCTTGTCATTCTTAATTGCCTTCGTATCGCTTTGAATATACTGAAATACACTTTCGAGATCATCACACAGGCCGAAAACACGATTGACACCATGAATCCAAGATAGATACGATTTATCATAACGCTGGTTTGTAAATCTTGCCCGCTCCACGACAGGGGAAGAAGAATTAGAACCAGCGGTACTAACCAAATTGCGAATAGAAGATGCGCAATTCGTAAGGATGTGAATACGCTGTGGTAGGTTAGCGGTTGTAAAATTGCGTGGTACCGATCGTAAGTCACGCCACACAAGTTAAAAAGCGAAGAGAATAGCAGAAATGTCACAACATATAAATTCGCTTCGTGTCCAATTGGCGTCGCGAGGTAAACAGGGACGAACAGCACCGCGACGCACAAGTCGGAAACTGCCAACGAAATCACGAAAACGTTTGTAGTTATTCGGAGCTTCTTGTTGACAGCAAAAAGCGCGCACACTGTTACGTTTTCCACAAGAATCGCGATGGCCATTATTATTAACCCGATAACTGTCGATTTAGAGTGTTGGGGTACTGTAAAAATGAATTCGCTTGTGTTTGTTGGCGTTGAAACGTTAACCATTTTTTGCTGGGACTATATTGTTCCGTCTGATTTCCTAAAACTTTTGAAAATAAAAAGCATTATTAGGCATTAATTTAAGAAACTAAAATCCATGCCAATTGTCAGATATTTTGTAAAATGTCAGTTGGAACTTGCTGTTTCATCGCTTGTCAGCTGTCAGTTAAGGACTTAAGATTTTTTTGTTAGTTGTCTGTGAAAACTCAAAAACACAGTCACATGCAAATGTCACTATGTCAGTAGTCTTTTAGATGTCAGTATGATCATTTGTAAGACATGTCTGTTCCAAATTATTGTTGCATAGTTTGTAATATTTTGTAAGATTTCGGTTACAAATTGCTGTTCCTTAGTTTGTTACCTATGAGTTAAAACAATTTGCGATTTGTCAGTAAAAATTATGGGCAAATCAAGTAGTATGCCAGTCCCATCTAACATTGTTATAAGATATCAGTTCCAAATTACTGTTCCATCGTCAGCTGTCAGTTAAAAATATTGTGGGTCAAAATAATACGAGCAAATGTGTGCAGTCATATTGCTAGCTGCGAATTCTTACTTTGTATTAGTTGTATATTCTTTCAGCTTTCGACAGGATTCAGTTGTTTTCGGCCAGAAATTGACTCCCGAGGCTTTCTGTGTTGAAGTAAACAGTATTTTAAGAGCTCCCTGATATTCGACTGTTTTTGTATACGCTTGCTCTTGATTTGTTATGCATGAAGAAGGCATGAACACCTGGCTAGCAATTTTAAGCTTTTCAAGTATATTGTCCGCATCAATGCTACTTTTATCCCGCCCTTTTTTCTTAAATTGGAAACCCTTTTTCATTTACCTGCCGTTAAATTAAGCAGACCCCCAACGATTTGTTTCAAATTGGGTTTCAAAAAATTCGAGGTGCAATATGTGATTTATTTTCCAAGCAAAATAAATCTAATTTCACATGCAATCCAGGTGACACGCTGGCGCTTGTTTTAATTTATGCATCTTCGTTCATTTCATATGTAGATGTAGCACTAATCGACTCGCCTGGGAAATAGAGTAAATACCATACAGACGTCTCGCCTCTCATTAATTTCAGCGTTAACGCCGTAAGGGATTTTCCATATTGAAATTTAATGTTCCAGGGGGGGGGGGGTGATGAATGTCTCCCTTTAGGGGAAGTAAAAACCACTGGTAAAAAGTAAAAACTACCTTTAAAACGTTTTTCTCGCGAAGTGAGACCTATGTATGTTTAGTACTCTACTACAACTCTGTGCCTGCAACACCCATTTTCCTGGGTTAAAATTTTCAAAACTTCTGTTGATCCATGCTGGTATGAATTGTGGAAAAGTATCTCATAAACCTAAACGGGATTTTGATGTCGTTAACCTACTTGTGATAATTGCGGCAATAAGCTTTTTCACAAACTTTTGAATAAAATTTTAGTGGATGGCGTTATCTGGCTAAGGGCAGTCATGCATGATGAACGACTATAAATACAACCTTGATAAGTTTTATTTGCTGTATACGGTGAAGAGATTGACAATTTTACCTTGCCAATCCAAGGAGCCTTGTTTCAAAGCTAGTCATGTTGTACTCATGTCAAGCTTTTGCAAAAGGTAAATCTGTTGGCAGTGTGTAAAACTTGACATGGGTACAAGAAATGCTTCTATGGTTTTGGCAAACAAAAGGTGGCCTTGGCGTGAGATAAACGTTTAACATGCAACAAAACTTGTGAGAGAAAACTTGTTGACCGTACACACGAGAAAGTAAACTTGTCAATGTCAAGCAAGAAGTGCTCGTCTTTGCTGGGTTTATAGTGTAAATTAAACCAGCCCTATATGTACATTGCATGCGTTGGAAATTGAAAAACATTGTCAAGGTGTCCTCCCACAACGTTCGTTAACAAAATATTAATAGTCTATCATCATAAACTTGTTTTTCTTCCACTTGAGCGCATTTTTTATTTACGTCGGCGGAAAGTTTTTATATAGCCAAGGTTAATTTTCTAGTTCATTAACACAGCAGCTTTATTGCTTTTATCACCCACCCACCTAGAGTCAAAGACTAGGATTTGTTACCGCCTTCCACGCCCATTATGCATGCATCTGGGCGGAAAAGGCATTCGCCTGATTCATGCAAAGAGATTGGCGTCACCTTTAATAGTATATATTCTTGACTTGCAATGATGTAGGCGCCCGCCATGTTGGTCCCCTTTCAACAAAAGAATCTCTTTTGAATTTGGCACCAACATGGTTGCCGTGCCATTGTCTTCCGATTGCTCGTTTGCAATCGACGCCATCTTGGGTGATTTTCGTGGCAACTAAAAAGCTATATTCTTCATTCTTCGTCGTATTGTGCCAGAAATCGTAAACTATCCATAATACAGCTGAGATGTTTTCAAAAAAACCAAAAATATTAAGGTAACTCAACTATTTCGATGTAAATGCGGATAATATAGCCCTGCGAAGTTTGCCGTTTTTCAGTCATTTTGTATTACGCGCGGGAAATTGATACCTTTTTTCAGAAACTACCGCCAGTTCGCAAGACAATTTGTCAGTTAAACGCCGTTAAATTAATATCTGTATTCCGGTCTTGAGCGAAAAACTTAATTTGTCTTTATGAACTTTGCGATTTCTGAATCTCAATTTTTGTGTTCTCAATAGCTGTGGGAAATTGAACAATACCTACCCAGCTGTCTATGCATATCAGTGATAATGGGTGGGCCATTAGAAAAGTGATGGAGGCAAGCGGGGAGGAAGGGTGACCTCGGCCTCCAAGAAGTGCAGCCTACCAAGTTGGAATATAAGGTTGGAATTTGAAAAAAATCTAAAAGGTCCCAACCCCCATCATTTTTGAAATGGTCCGCCCCTAAATATCTTCTAGCCAAAATCACTGCAATAACACGTTCTAGTCATCTCTTCCGCATGTTTTATATAAATGATATTTCGAATATTTATCATCATTCTAATTATGTCTAATGATCTTGCAAATTAAATAAATTGCTTTTTCCTTTTACTGTAAGTGCATATCTGGGACTATTAAAATGTAATTCGCACAAGCAAAATCTTCACTGTTGTTTACACGATTCACAACTAACGAAAAAACAAGAAACGACTTTTGATTGATAAGCTAAGGAAAAATACTTTTTGCAAACTGCACGCCTTCGTTTTGAAATTTTTTTTTTGAAATTTGTAATTAAAAGCAATGCGAGTATTTCATATTTTCATTCTGTGGGCCAGGTGTAAATTAGGACGAAAGACCCAATATGGTTCGTTCATGTAAAAACTATAAACTTTATTTATACTGGACAGCTCGATCTATCAGTTTTAACTATTCTCTCTAGAGGTCCAGTAAGGATCACATCTTATTGATTCAGTGTTACTAGAGAGTAGAGGAAGAAACCTAAACTAAACTTTATTTATACTGGATAGCGCTATCAGTTCTAAACTGTTCTCTCTAGAGGTCCAGTAAGGATCACATCTTATTGATCCAGTGTTACTACAAGAGGAAACCTGAACTAACTTATTGACTTCCAATAAAAACACAAAGCACAACACAGCGTTTTCTCTAAAATCGAATAAGTTAATAGTATATTTTCTACACTCGTCAAGAATGTCAAATTAAAGTATTTTACAATTTCGCTGGCACAACCAGTGGTCAATTTACAGCTACCTACAACAAACACGTAAGGCGATGTCACACGGGGCAATTTTTGCCACAACTTGCAACACAATTTCGGTACCAGACGTTGCTATATATAGTGCTGTACAAACGTCGGGTTTTTCACGTCCGGCTCCGGAAAAAAAATCCGGCTCGGGGAACAAAAACGACAGTAGTTTGCAGCACAAATAAGTGCTGCCGGAGTTTTGCCGGAGTTGAACAAACTGCGGCTCCAGCTCCGGTAAAATGGACCAAAACTCCGGCCCTCCAGCTCCAGCGCACAGCACTAGACGTTGCAAGATGTAGCAAAAATGGCGTCGTGGAATATGGCATAATATATAAGACATATTTACAGAGCCCCCCCCCCCCCCTATTAAGCACCCCTTCCACCCTCACGACAAATAAATACATGTACAATGCTTATCAAGGGTCTCCCACGGGGGGGGGGGGACGACGCTAATCCCGTGTTCACTTGGAAAGTTTTCTTTGATCCCAGAGAAGATTTTACCACGTTCCCTTCTTCCCTAGGATTTTTTCAGAATTGCAAAATATGCATTGTTCCCTAGAAACCCTTGGGAAACTTTCTTTATTGATTGACTTGGAAATTCATGGCGTTTCTAATACACTACGTTTCGGCAAAATCAATACGCCCCTCTCTATCACAAAGCCCACCTCCACCCTTCAGAAGTGCTTGAAATAACCCCCTACCCCTGGGGCTTGATACAGGATCTCAATCTCGTTTACAGGATCTACGATAAGCACCTACACGCAATTATTTACAATATTACACAAAACCTACTCATTGTCTTCGGATTAGTTTTCTGCGCCTGTGGCATAGTTAACTTTCTTACGATATGCACAATATCGTTTCTCGGGATTGCGTTCCCAGTCTGTAGCGGTCTCGTCCCCAGACCTCTTACGTCGTCCTCTAAGCTTGATAAGAACTCGTTGTTCTCAACAATAGTAGTACTACTCAAATCCTGAACGATGTTTTTACCTGTCTTACTGTAGACCACATTTTCGTTGACACATCCCCTCGCATCAGCGAGAACCTCGATAGCCGAGGCTTCCTCAGAGATTATCCGATTCTTTGCGACGAATGGATCCCCGGGCCCCACAATCACCAGCTCCGACTTCCCGTTCCCTATGACGTCATTTTCGCGAATGCGTCCTCGGCCCTGCGCGACAATCCCGTTGCCTAGGTTACCACGTACGCAGTTATCATGCACGGATGATAAGGTGCTTACGGCCAGGGTAATACCAGTCTCGCCGTTGTCGAGAACTCGGTTGCTATGGATCATGGCGTGATCAACAGGCTGTTCGATGGCGATGCCGTTGCCTTGGTTACCATTGAATGTGTTACCCCGGATGATGACGTCTTCTGAGCCCGCGAAAGAGAGGCCGCAACCTTGATTGTAGCTGATTTTGTTGTTGTCAACTATCGAGCCGTTTTTCTCCAGTTGTGGAGCTGGTTGAGATATAAAGAGTTGTCACTTTTATACAAGCATATATCTAAAAGACTAGAGTTTTAAATGACACTACTGCTAGTCATTGCTATGAGGTCATATTGGTTCGAATACGTGATATTTGTTCAGCTGAAAGAGCATTGGACTAGAAAATCAAAGGACAGATCATCATAGGGTTCAAACCCCGAATAGGACTCGGGAATAATAACTTTTAAAAGCTTTTAGTCAGTTTTAACCCCGGCCTATCGAACTTCCGAATAGCCCCCAAAAAGTTGCGCAAAGAACGCATAGCACCAAAAAAGTTGCGCAAAGAGTCATTTTTAAAGTGCGCGGAATAAAGGTCCACGAACGACAAAACAAAACAATTGTCTATATTTACACATACACAAACAATTTTTAAATTTTATATCTCTAGAAATGGAACTTACTCAGAAATTCAATGGATAGAGAATCCGTGTCATCAAAGAACGACCCAGAGGACGGTTCTTCGTCGTAGATGAGAACCGGTGGTGCTTGTTCCTAGAAATTCAATCGGACATTAGCATGTCATCAACTGCTGACTTCGTTATCTCTTCAACATAATGCGTTGTTTGTTTGAGTGACAAGGCAGGTTACAGGTTATTAACTGAGGTTATTAAGAGATGAATATTTTGTATGTTACGTAACACGCGCTCAAAACCAAATAAATATACTTTTCCACTTGCTATATTGAAATTTTTAAAGTATGTTTAGTGCTTTATCTGTAAAATTATGCTAAAATGAACAGATTTTAGATGGTACGCCAAAGAGAATAAGTTTTGCTTATATTCCTGTATATGGCGTCAATTTTACAGCATCAATGATAATTGTACTTGAATTGTCAATATTTAGCTATTATTTTGTGTTTCACAACCGCCAGATACATTTAAAAAGGTTGCTAACTGTGTAAACTACAAAATAAAGCTAAAACAAAGTAATCTTCAGGTCAAAAGATTTTTTGAACACTTTTCATCGCAAATAAAAAAATTGCCTCTTAAAAAAATTGCCTTCGGATCTTCGTCAGTGCAAATTGTGGTACAACAACCCTACCTGTTCTTGGTCTTGTTGTAAGAACTGCGCACTGAGTTTCTGGTTTTCTCGCAGATCATCAGCCGTGCTAACAAACGCTACACCATGATCACAACATTCGCTGATGTGGTTGCCAAATATCACTGGACGTGACATGGACAATACCCACACACCACATCCACGGTTCTCTATGTACAGAAATACAGGAAATTAGATCCGAAACTACATCCGACTCCGAGAGCTGTGCCCAGGGGCGTAGGAAGCGGAAGGGGGGGGGGGGCACGGGGGGCACGTGCCCCCCCCAATTTTTTTAAAGGACTAAAAGTGCCCTTTTTTGTGATAAAAAGTGCCCTTTTTGTGTTGAAAAGTGCCCTTTTTTGTGAGGAAAAGTGCCCCTTTTGTAGAAGCTACTGTCGCTGTAAATACTAAATTAAAACAATAGGTGCCGTTTTTGTGTGGAAATTTACAAATTTTTTTTAAAAATTAGGTCACAAACATAAATTTCGGTATGATACGACGGAAAATTTTCCTCAGGAGAAATTTCTCCCTTTCCGATAGTAATGTGCCCCTACAAGCCGGTGCCCCCCCAAACTCCAGGTGCTTCCTACGCCCCTGGCTGTGCCTATCAGTTGACGACTTTTGCATGTATTCTAAAAGCTCACTTACATCACACTCAAAGAGTGGAGGTTCAATCTGAGCTTTCCCTTGAGTGTCAGTGCTGTTTTTGAATAGCTGCAGGGTTAGTGTCGTACCTTACTATGTGACTACTCACCCTCCAGCTATTCAAAAACAGCACTGACACTCGAGGGAAGCTCAGATTGAACCTCCACTCATTGAGTGTGAGTGAGCTTTTAGAATACAGGCGTTAACGTTGTTATCCGAGAAGACGCGAAAGTCTAACCATTTACTGATGTCAATGTAAAGGTAGCTCTTTCTCCTCAATTATTTAAAGACTTTGAGTAGAGCGTGGTGACCACATATGCTGGTTTTTAATAATCTGGAACTAATAATCCTGAGGCCGTCAGACAGACGTCAGTGGCTATACTGAGACCTGGCCCAAGCCTTGCTTTGGCCTACTGTTTGAAAGCGTATAAAACACAGTTTGACCTCGACACTTACTTCGAATGACGTTTTCAAAGATGAGACCACATCCTCGCTTGCCAATCACGACACCATCACCATGTCCCTTGTGTATGGTGTTATTCATGATGACAGGGTGACCACCATTGCGGATATCAATACCACCCCATTCCATACCACATATATCATTGAAATACACGTGACCAAAACCTTCCTCCGTCACTGCGATGCCTGCAGCTTGACCCGCCCAGATGCGGTTACACCTGGTAGAGAAAATAACACAGGTTGGACTACAGCCATTGGAGGCGGGACATATTGGAGGCAGGGGCATATTGGAGGCAGGGGTATATTGGAGGCAGGG